ATGTTCAAAGCAGTATTTTTCATGTGAAAATGATGATTCTGAGCAGCTGGGACCAGCTGAGGGGTCTGAGTCTAATATGGCACATACATGTGCATCTCCTTGATAAATAACCAGCTTAGAAACTGATGGACTTCAAAGCTGTCAAAAGTTCTGATAGAAGAAGTGTTTTAAGACGGGCCACATGCACACAGCAAGAGTGTACTGTATTCATTTCCCCCAGTGCCTCCAAGCTGTCTATAAATCAAATTCCTATGTGCTGATATGGAACTCAAAGCTTAAGTTTCTCGTAAAAGACCTTTGATTACAGAGTACCACATGAGATCTGGCTCCTGCGCATCGCATCCTCCTCCCTGCACTTTCCCTGCTCCAGCCCGATCTTGATAGATGTGATCTGCGGCTGGAAGACCTAAAGCCCAGCAGGAGAATACTTAAACTCCAATAATTCTCACGTGGTGACGCATGCCGTGAGATCTTTCCAGTGGCTGTGAAGCGTTTGGGGCCGGTGTGTTTTTAACGCGGTGACAAATTGTGAGGCAAAGTGCTTCCTGATCCGTTCTGGAGTGGTTCCAGTTGAAACGCAGCCCAGGTGCAATAAATCAGAGCGCTCAGGTGAATGTAGCGTTGTGTTACACCCAACTCAACCCAACTCTTTCTCCATCTGGTCAAACATTTAGTGAACGATATATATCACGATATAGCACATGTTCTTTAAATTCATGAATAGTTTCCACATGGGAAGACCTGTTTCTTCTTACATTTTTAACGATATACTCGACAAAAAAACTGTCAACTAGGGATGCACGATATGGATTATTTTTTTCAGCCAATACAATAGCAGAAAATTAGTTGCTTCTCATGGCAGATACCGATAAGATAACCGGTAATTTCACATTTTGTATTTTAAAAGAAGTTCATAACATGTAGTTTTTACACACATAATGGTAAGAAAGGATGTAGTGAGCAAAGATGGATGATTTAATATCCTATAGCTCGGATCTAAGCAGATCTAAGTGTGATATATACATTTCCCATTATTAGCCCTGATAATTATCGTGCATCCTTACTTTTAGAGCTGCATCAATGTATAGAGAGCTCCGTCTGGTCCAGACCTTTTTTTTAGATACAAGCTGGACCTCGCGGAGTTCACTCCTCATCTTCGGAAATACCCCGTTCTGTGTCACGTTCACTATCCTCCATGTTTGTTTGAGTTGCTTTCATGCAAGTTTTCTGCCTGTATCCATTCTATCCGGAAGAAAACAAAGGCTTTGTTCGCACTGGAAGCTTTAGCGATCGGTTTTGTTTAAAGAGATCAGATTCCGTATGACTTGTGTTGTTCACACTGTCATTAAAAAACAGATGAGTCACATATGAGCAAAAAAATCAGTGTAGTCCAAATCCTGAAAAATACTGCTGCGAAGAGTGCAATTTGACAAAATAAATGATGGAGCATAATATGAAAGAAGGCATTTTTCTATTGTCACACGATACATATGATCTTTTTTCCCAGATGCAAGAAAACATGTTTGTTTGGTACATACCACAAATGATGATGAATTTAAGTTTTGAAAATGGAACTTCTTTTGATGCAAAAATGATCATGAAGTGTGGTAATTGTAGCTATTTCTACCTGCTCCATGTGCTTGGGCCAGTTCAGTGACTTCCTGTGGAGTTTGACAACCTCCAGTTTGTGAGTTCTCTCTGTTCAACACATACAGGAGAGAAGAGTTCAATCTTTTTCCTTTGGGGAAAATGAAAGGCAACAAAGATGGAGGATAGTGATTCAGAGATTTAGAACCAGCTGCCCAGGTTAAATTGTAGGTCTGGAGCCATTTTGGATTTGAATAAAAACAGACAAGTGCTTCATATCAATTTTATATTACTTAGCAGCTGTTTGATAATGACTTCATTGTTTCATCAATTTCTCAAGATGAAAGACCCAACCCAAGTCCAGTTTGTAGATGGTGTTGACTTGTGTCTGACTGTCAGTGCTAACAGTCCTACTAAGTGGTCCAGCTGGGCCACAGCTGGCTGCACACATGGAGGAAGTTTTGGGGTCAACGCCAAGGAAACCCACTTTTCCCTTTTCTTTTTTTTTTTTCTCTTTGTGGCCAATAATTTAGTCCAATTTCTGCATCTGTTGAAGATTACACTCTCCTCGCTTTAGAAGGAAGCCTTTTCCTCACCTGCATGCCTCACGCGGCAACTCGCCATCCGCTTTAAAATAAAAAGGGAGGCATTTAAACAAGTCGTAAGCACAAAGTAAACCTGTCAGAAGGAATTGAGTGCCAACTTTCAAACTTATGTTCGCCATCTATACATTATTTTACTTGCAAGGACAGCAGGAATATGTGTGCAGTGTTGAGAAAGTAGCTATTACTGGCTACACGCTGTGTAGCCTTGGAAACCTGATATTTAGTGTGAGGAGTGGGACAGTGCTGGGAGGAAAAGAGCCCATCTCAAGCTAAATGGACTGGATCATCATTTTTACTTCTGCCTGTTTCACCTGCTTTGT